AACCGGATCTGCTTAAACGGTATAAATCAGTCTAAACAATAATATATCCCTGCTTGCTTTTGAGCAAACCCCCAGCACTTCAGCACACATGGTTTGCATTTTCTGTACTCTCTTCTAGTAAGGCTGAAATGGCTGGAAAACAGTGTAAAATTTTCACGTTGGATTTTAAACCGTGTCAAGAAATTGATTCTTGCATATTCACTGGGTTTAATTCCTTTCCTTCCTTGCCTTGGCAGCTGATGCAAGTCTGCCTCTGAAAATGTCTTTTCCTTGCTTTTCACCCCAAAAGAGGGTTTAGTTTAAAGGTAAAAGAGGCAGTTTTGCCTTTTTAATGGAACGATGTGATCAAAATACAGAACTGCATATTAGGAGTTCGCTAACTGCTTCTGCTTAATCTGTAGCCTGGAGGAAGCAATTAATCCTTCTTGAATTCAACCCAATCAGTGCAGTGCTGCACCATCTTCCCCGTGAAGGTATTGGTGTCACATTTGCTTCAGGGTTGGTGTCACGTTTGCCTCACCAAGGTGGCTCAGCCTGGAATCACGTTCTTGCCCTGAAGTAGCCTGCAGAGCCCCATTAACTTTACAAGGAGTTTTTCCTTGAGGTAATGATGCATCTGTCCTGCTGGGATTGAAGTTCCTGCCTTCCCAGTCTGGAGCTGTTAGGACTTTAATTATTTTTTTGACTGATGCTTGGTTCCTTGTGAAGTGGAGGTGTTATTAGGCTGGGTTTCTCCCCACGTGGACATTCCGAGGCTGTGTGTGGAGAAGGGATTTTGCTGGAATGGCTCTGTGGGGTCAACCAGCTCTGATTCACTGCACCTTGGTTAAAAAGTCTGTTTTCTACCTTGCAACTCAGCAAGCTGAGGGCCTGAGCAGCCTGGTCTAGTGGAAAGTTCCTTGCCTATCACTGAGGGTTGGAATGAGGTGATCTTTAAGGTCCCTTCCAGCCCAAACCATCCTGTGTTTCCATGACTCTATAGGTGCCTGTGAGGTATAACAGTAGCAGCAGCACCTGAAGTACCTCTGAGGTCAAACAGTGCCTTCAGGGACATCCCACATGCACTTCTTGTCCCCTGTTGGAATCACAGAATCATCCAGGTTGGAGGAGACCTGGAAGATCATCGAATCCAACCTTTAACCTGTCACTGCTGTAACCCCTAAACGTCCAGTGCCAGATCCAGATGTCTCTTAAACACCTCCAGGGATGGTGACTCCACCACCTCCCTGGGCAATATCCCAGTGCCTGAACACCCTAAGAGGGAAAACATTTTCCTAACATCCAGTCTGAATCTCCTGTGTCAGCTCAAGGACTGGGTGCAGCCCAGGATTCCATTGGCTTTCTAAGGTTTGCCGAGCACAAAGCCATTGCAGAGCCATTTCCAGAGCTGCACCTTGCTGTTGGCTGCTTGGAAGCTCTCCCTGAACACTGTGCATTATTGAGGCCATTCTCACTTCTTTTTTTTTCCCTGTCTGCTGTTGCAGGAGCCTGGGCTGTACCGTGGTGGAGATGCTGACAGAGAAGCCCCCGTGGGCAGAGTACGAGGCCATGGCTGCAATCTTCAAGATAGCCACCCAACCCACCAACCCCCAACTGCCCTCACACATATCAGAACATTGCAGGGACTTCCTAAAGCAGATCTTTGTGGAAGCCAGGCACAGACCCTCTGCTGAAGAGCTGCTCAGACACCAGTTTGCACAGCTCCAGTACTGAATTACCTCCCTCGCTCGCAGCTCCTGCTGGGCTCTCCGTGCCCCGTCTGGTCTACTTGCAACTGCCCATTGTGGTGCTGCATCTTCCAAATGCCAACTCAGCTGGCCTAGTCCTTTGGGGAAGTTCTGCCAAGGAACCTAGGGTCTGCTCTCGTGCCTGATTCCTTAGTTTGCTGGACTAATGTTTATCCTACCAACAGCAGTCCAAACAGAGCTGCGTTTTTTGCCTCGAGTTACCTGGATGTGAAATTGCAGCTGGTTGCATGTTTTCTGCAGAGGGAAGAGTGGGTATCTAACAAGTGTCTCACTGGTTGAACAGAGAAGAAATCTGAAGAGAAATCTTGAGACCAGAAACGTGCAGCAGCCTCCAGAGCAGCTCTGTCCATGTGTGTCCCTGGTTTCCAGCCTGCTGAGGCTCCAGAGGCATCCTGATTCCAGCCAAAAGCCATGTGTCATTGAGCATGAGCTCGCCTAGAGTATGATATATTTTTCTTCTTAAGTATTCAGCATCTGAAGGTGTTCAGAAAATATTGATTCAGAAGTATGTGAATAGTGTTATTTTATAATGAACCCATGGACTTTGGGGTGGGGGAGAGGGAGGTCCTTTTAGCTAAATGTCAGGATAATCACAAGTGTTTCAGCTGAATGCAATCACTCCAGGGCCTGAGGTAAAGGCTCTCCCACTGGCATTGGAAAATCCAGAGCTTGATTTCCAAGGCTTCATCAGTCCCAGCATTAAGACAGTGTCAGTTAGTTTGTGTCCTCATAGCCAACAAATCTGTGCTCCTGCTGCTTCTCTCTGGGGCTGCTGAGTGTAAACAAAACCCCTCTGGAAGGGAGTTCTGCAGAACAGCTTCCTGCTGGTAAGTTTTTATCATCCTTTAAACCAAAGATACTCCATCTGGTGCCCAGGAATTTACTTCAGGAAAAGCTTCTGTGTTTCTTTGAGCACCTGACCTAATGGAAAACCAAGTTTTTCATGGGGAGAATTAGCTGCACACTTGTTTTTCTTGTGCACAGGAAGTTGGAATCAAAGCTCGACCCTTCGTTGTGTGTGTTTGGTTTTACAGGTGTGCACGTGGCCACTTGAGAGCTCCATAAAATGTTATGGCCCAGTTTGAATAAGGTTTTGTAGGAGTTAAGTCAAACAGGGAACCAGAGAGAACATTTGTATCTAACAAAATCCCCACACAGGTACCAGCAACATGTGCCCAAGTGATTTTGCACTCGAAAGGTACCACAGAACCACTGAGTTCCTGATGGCCTCAAATCCTCTGTGTTGATGTGGACACTGATGATCCTTATTTCACTCATGAAAGACCAGCAGATTTTAAGTGCTGGGGATTCATGGAGTAACTACAAGTTATCTGTGTGAAGTGCAACTAGGAGAAGCAAATGTATTGTTAGCTAAAATATTGCTTTATAGGGCAACACTAAAGGTGTTCTGCTCTTATGTTGGGAACCCTGTTAAGGTTCCACACACCTCCCCTCTTCTCCCCCCTAAAAACTTGAAAATTGCTTCATAATGCAGTAAAATTAAGTTGTGAAGTGAATGCTGATAGGAGGAGAAGGCAAGTTTTAGTGAAACCAAGCTCCTTGAACACAGGATAAATACTGTGTTGAATTAAAAGAGGGGAAAAAAAAGAACCCTAAAAACCCCAACCAGCCAAAAGTCCTGAAAGGATTTAGCACCCTGAAGTGGTTTTTCAGTGCCAAACCCAGAGCAAAGTGTTAACCAGTGAAAGCTGGTGATGGTTTCACTTCCAGGCTCCCTGCACTACTCCAAGGCCACACTCTTCTGGCTGCAGGCACTTAGGGGATACCTTTGTTCCATAACTTATTGAATTCTAGTGAGAGCACTTGGATTGATCTTTTCCCAGCCTGGAACTTGACTCCAAACTGTCAAGCCCCATGGCCTGACTTCTGGCTTGCACTTCACTGTTGCTTGCACTGAGGGGAAGCGAAGGTGTGACACTCCTGCTCGGGTTTGGGAGCTCCTTTCTGACTCTGCTGGGGTCAGATGGCTGCAGGGAGTCAGGAGAACAGGAGTAGGGGTCAGCACTCTTCAAGCCTTGCAACCAGCACCTAAATATACCAAAGATTGGAATCTGTTCATCACCCTGAGGT